AGGGTGCCCTCCTGAAGGTTCTTGCTCCCTCTGCCTCCTCCTACCCTTCTGGCCATGCTTTTCTGGTAGAAACATGCAGACTGTGTCATGGAGGTTTATCTACCTGTCCTTCCTCTGCTACAGACTGATGAACTTTTTGGGTAGAAATCCATCCCCTTATAATAGTGCCCCCCAGAGCCTTTCCTATACAGGCTATTCTGTATATTATAGATTTTTGGTGGATGTATGAGTGTTATAAATATATAAACCAATGCTTCCCTGTAGACAACCTTTGCTTGCACAATGACATATGTGGTTTTAGTCACATCAACATTTCTCTGATGTTTGTTTTAGCCTGGAAAAGGATTGCATTCAACTGTGAACATTCCTTTCTAAAAGTTCAAAACACAAGTATAATTTATATTAAGCACTATAGTTTTCTGTGTTAAAACCAAATGAATTACACTTTCTATGTGGGTACCTAAGAACATTTAGCATTACTAGTTAAAATGATCTTGACCCTCAGTATGCTCTGAATAGGAAAAAGGGAAGAGTGAAGAGGATGAAGAGGAATGGAGGGAGAAAAGACAACTGGCATGAGATACGTGCAATCACTTTATGTCATGCGCACAAAAGAAGCTTGTGCCATATTCCATACTGGAATTTTGTGACAGCAAATAATCTGTATCTTGTCCATGGGAATAAATTCATTTTCTGGATAGTTCAAAAATGAGGGAGGAAGGGAGAGAAAGGAGGAAGGGGAGAGGGAGGGAGAGAGCGCTTAGAATCTTCTTGCAAGAAATCAAAAGCTCACCTAAAGACACAAACCTTAAACATTATTCTATGAAATACTTAGGACAATTTTATATGGCGTTGAAATAACTGAAATAATTACTCCTTCCATTAAACCAAACATCTACAATTTAAACTGTATCTCGCACAAACTATAGCATGCTTATTGCTTAGGAACTGCTAGTGTCTGCTGTTTGATTTACTTTACTTTTGATGGGTGTGTGTTTTTTAAATGATTCAAAGTTTCACTAGGCCGGTTAATTGGTTTATGAACAGTTGTGGGGCAGATACCCTTGTCTTAATTATGGATAGAGACCTTCTCTCTTAATTTTGTAAACTGCAGCTTCACTTGGTGGAGAGATTTACATTTGTACCTTTCCATACACGTTGGTTGGAGTTGCATTGTCAAGAAGAAATGTTAACAGCTCCTTGACTTATGATGAGATTACATCTGGATAAACTTCAATTTTTTTTTATTTTAAAGAGAAAAATAACAACAATAAAGACAAAAACAAAACTTCTTTACAAGGTTCAATAATCTGTAAGTTGAAATGCATTTAATACGCGCAGCCCACAAAACATTATAGCTCATAGCAGCACAGAGAAAGCCTCAGGTGCTCACTCTCATGATCATACAGCTGACTGGAAACTGTGGCTCACTGCAGTGTCTTGCATCTAGAGTGTAGCATGTATATTACCAGCCCACGGACATTTCAGGCTGTGTTGTAGCCCATGGTGTGTAGTGAGTGTATGCCACTTTCGCCTCATTGTAAAGCAGTACCATCACTGGCTGGGGATCATCTGTAGCCTTCATTTGTATAGTGTAAAGCAGGAAGCATAACAAAAACTGACTAAATTGATCTGAGGAAATAACATCTCATGAACGGAACATTTTGTGACATTTAGTGTACACACTGATTTTAGATTCTTTGAATACTTAAGAACTTATCTGAAACAACTAAAAAAACCACAATTATCATTTATCTTTATTGTGGGATATTTTTGAGAACAAAATCTTGTATGTATTTATGAAAATAAAGTTATGCAAAAGTGAGCAATTTAGTCAGTCATTCATATTGTGTCTGTATTGTTTTACAACACATCTGATATAGCAGACACTGTGCTAGTGGCCCCCAAAGCGGACAGTTCCTGCCTTCAGGTAGTATGCAACCTAGCGTGGCACAGATATACTTTAGCATATGTGGTACAAGGTGTGAGAATAAGGAGAGGTGATAGTCAAAAGTTATGGTAATCAAACCGATGAACGATTATTACTAGAAGAAGGCTTGGAGAGTAGTATTTGAATAGTTTCCACAGGCATAGAGGACCGCAGGGGTGGGGCAGGTAAAGAATCCTGGGGAAAGCGATATATATGTCAGGAGCAAAGCCATGTTAGGGCACTGATAAGCGGCCCAGAGTAGTGGCACAACTGCTCATGTACGCAGTGAGGGAGGAAAGGGTGACAGAAGGAAGAGGTAGAGAAGAAAAGAGGTGGGGAAGCCAAGCTGGGATGGATGGTAGAAAAGCCATCCACGCCCTGCTAATGGTCACACGTTTTACTCTGTACCTTCTGGTGATGCCAGTGAAGGATTTTTAAGAATGGGAGACATGGAAAACTCCTGCACATTTCAAAGATGGCTGCTAGGAACATGCAGGGGGAATAGGAGAGAGGAAGTAAATGTCTCAGTGTGCAGTTATGAAATCTTGACTAAAGACAGTGGTCAAAAAAAGAAATAGATCCTAAAGAGGATCTAGAATCCATATATGAATTGAGGGTGGAGTTTTGGACAATAGGTGGAACTGTTTTCATGTGGCGACTTCAGAAAACCAACTGGATCTGGCATCAAATCCTATCCCCCACTGCTTGTCAGGTTACTGTACCTCCTGATGCCTCATTCTCCTCATCTGCCAAAGGGCATCCTCTCACAGGACTATTGTGAGATCTCAGTGAGTTAGTGAATAGAAAGGACTTAGAAGAATGCATTGCAAGCAATAGAGTATCATCACACACTTATCATCTACTCATCACTCAAAAATAATATAAAATTTTAAAATAGGGTAATTCTACTACCTAATAATTATAAATAAAGTTATTTATAATTTAATTATACTTAATTATATTGGAGTAATGCCTTTTAATCTTCTAAATTACTTTCAGCACTCTTAGAGTTTCAGTGGAAATATTCTTAATATTCTTAAGTGTTTACTGATTTTTTAAGGCAAAAAAGTTCAAGTGAGTATATGTTCATTTATTCACGGAGCATCTATGATATACCTGGCTTTAGGGACACTTGGTATACAAAACAGGTATGTTTTACCAGCTCTTCTGGAGTTGCAATAACTGAATAGGGATACTCCCATGAAATAATACTGCTTACCCACTATTATGGAATCAAATGTCCAAATGAGTGACAAACTAGGTATGAATTAGAAATTAGAAAGGTGGAATTGGCTTTTGAAACAATTGTCATTATACCAGACAGATTTACCAATGACTTCTATAGTCCATCTGTGGATGTAATACTGCTTCAAGATAAACACTGGTTATAATATCAACAACTCAAAATTTTGAACATATGATTAATTATACTAACATGTTACATAGGAAGAGCAAAAATATTTCTTTTGTAAATTCCTTGAAAGGTTTTTGGGATGAAATTATTTCTTTAGGATTTAATCTAAATATGATTTACTCTTTGTGAGGACTTAAAAGCTCATTTCATTTAATATAAACAAATGAAAACTATACTCTATAAACTTAACATAGTTCTTACAAGAGATAATGGAAACTGTTTTCTCTGGAAAAATCTATAAAAGGAATTGGTTGGCCCAGGTCATGGAAGCATATTCTGCTTCATTTTCTTAGGAACATTTTGGGGGATATGTTAATTTTTCATGTTTTATGTGAAAATACATGTCAGATGTGTTTATGTTTCTGAAAAATGTAAAACAAAGCTTCAAATGATCCATGGTATGCGTCTGTGTGATACACATTTTGAGATATTTGAAGCGACATTTGTTCTCAACTCTCATAGGCATATAAATGTACCAGCAATTAAAGATACTATCTTGTTCAAAATCTGCGAGAGATCAGATTATAAAGTATACATGTATAAGATATTTTATAAGCAGCAAGAAAAAAGAAAATTAAAGGATAATATTTTGAAAGTTTGTGCCTTTCAATTAGGTTTAAAATACTCTATATGGGGCTGGGGATTTAGCTCAGTGGCAAAAGCGCCTGCCTGGCAAGCACAAGGTCATGAGTTCGGTTCCCGGTACCGGAGAAAAACCAAAATCAAAAAAAAAAAAAAAAATACTCTATATGTGGTAACTGAAATAATAATTTTCTATTAAGGAAAATACTTGTGTTAGAAAAAAATAACAACTAGACCAAACAATACTTTAGAATCAACTCTAGAAATTTGCTGGCAGGCGAGAAACCCTGAAGTTTTATTTTTACTTTCTCTTTTTTTCTAATTAGTGCTTTGGAGAACACTGAGTAAGGCAAAGTTTGGCTTCGGTATCAAAGTATTATTCTGAGTTATTAGGCTAAGAGGTCGTTTTCCATCAGGTACGCTAGCGCTCTGGCACGACTTTGTAGTGTGAGTTATAGGTAACGATTCCTAGGCCAAGTTCCCAGCTTTGGAAAATGTTTATCTAAAACGCCTGGAAACCCAGGGATACACATTAGTAATATTTTCCCTGTCTGGGCTGATACGGGCAGCTCCAACTTGGCCAGCTGGGGCTGTGCCCTGCGAACAGCGCCCTTGCTGAAGTTTTCGTGCAGAGAAGAGCAGCTCAGATGTGCGCCTGGCTGGAGACAGAAGCAGCCGTCAGTCTCGCGCTTTCCTCCCGCTGCTGCTCATCCGCTCGTTACTGCAGGGCGGTGCGGGCGACGAGCGCGAGAAAGCACCCAAGGTCTCGCAGCCCGGCCCGCTCCGGGCGCGGGGAGACCACGGGCCAGCTGGCCCCTCTTCGGAACCTCTCTGGCGAACAGGCGGGCGCACTTTTGAGTTGACTTCGGTAAATCTGCAAACTGCTCTGCATCCTCCAAAGCTCACCGTGTCAAATCGGGGCTGTCCCTGGAACTCGGAAGCCCAGGACCCCCAGCGCAAGGTCCTGCGCGCCCGCCCCGGGCGCCCGGGCCACTGCTTAGCACCCATCGCGCCTCCTCGGACGCCAGAGTCCTCGCCCTGAATGAAGCAAAGGAAAGAAAGGAAAACACCTACCCTAGTGATGACCAAAGGCTGGTTGAAGTCCACGCCCCCCGAGAGCCTGAAGCCCCAGGGTGCAGGGCCCGGGAGCACCACGTTCTGGGGCATGCTTCTTCTTCGGGCGGGGCGCCGAGGCTCCCGGCAGCGGTACGCAGCGAGGGGCGGCTTGCGCACCGCGAGGGTCCCGGAGGGAGGCAGCCAGCTCCGGCCGGGGCAGCGTCCCAGCGGGGCGCGGCGGAGCTTTATCCCCGGGCGTGACGTCAGGCCCGCCGCCCCCGCCCCTGCCCCGCAGAGCGCTCCAACTTTGGAAGCGAGGCCCCGCTGAGCCGAGCCGAGTGCGGCCGTCACCCAGACCCTTGCGCGGCGGGCGCCGAGGAGGAGGTCTCGGGTTACAGCGTCCAGCACCCGCTTAAAGTCACACCTGTCCCCGTGTTCATCGTCCGCCTGGAGCTCAGCAGCTCACTCCTGCAAGTTAAAGGCGGACAAACCACAGCCGCTGTGCTTTCAATGAAAACAGGAGGCGAGCGCGTCAGTGCATCGAATTACTTAGAGTCTTGAGCGCGTTAATAACTTAGCTTGCTTTGTGACCGGCCAAATTACATTTATAAATGTATTTAGAATTTAATGTTTGAAACAAAGGGATCCAAAGTGAAAATGTCGCTCAAACTCATACTCAACCCTATGACTCACCTAAGAGTATGCGTGAATGGGTGAGTGATCGATACACTCGAGACAAAAGTGTCAACGATTTTGAATGGCGTAATTGTCTTCCTTGGATTCAGCATCTAGACATGTTTTTTGGGAGCGCGGGTAGCAGTAACCCAGGAGTTGAGGCTGTCCTGTGTAGATGCTGCAGCCAGCCTGAGGATGCCCAGAGGAGTGTGAGGAGGAGAGCAGGGGCATCCCCGAACCGGATGCAGTTGCAGAGGGAAAGGAGGCCAGTGAGTGTTCACTGAGCCCTTTGTGGTCCAGGTGTGAGCGACTGCTTCTCGTGAGGCTCTTAGTGCATCCTGCAGAGCCCAGCAGACTGCTCTTGTTAGTTTCACTCATTTTCAGGTGAGCAAATAATTTCTTAGAAGCTGAGTAACTTCCATAAGATCATAGGCCTACTTAATAGTATAATAGAAGTAAAAAATCTAGGTCTGCCTGACTCCAGTGTAAAGGAATAAAGACCAGGAGAGTCTGAGTAGGGTCCTGCTGGAACCTCATATGCGATCAAGTGTCCTGGTGTTACGGTCAGACTCTTCTGACTTCCAAGGAGAGGGGAAAGCGTAAGGGAAGAGAAGTATGAAACGCTTTAAAACCCTGAGACTGATGACCTTGGACTTCATGCCCAATAGGGTAAGATATCAGTCCAGAAAACGAGGGTTGCAATATATTTTTAGTAAAGCAGTCTGTTTAGACACAATTTTAAGACTGATGCAGAAAAGAGGAAGACAATTTAGAAAGCTATATGCAAAATGGGCCAGTTGGGAAAACGTAAGTGTAAAACCAAAATAGGTACTACTTCGCCTGCTGCGGTGGATTATAATGCAAGTCCCAGGGGAAAGGCATTTATCTAGATATAGACATTTTCCAATGCCCACCTTATGTTGAATTATCAGGGAAATAAGTGTAATGTTGATTTTGCTTATTTGGGCTGGCTGTATTATTGTAGGACACATATCCTCTCTCATCGCTGGCTGAATCTACATCACACACACACACACACACACACACACACACTTAGGAAAAAAAACCAGGCAAGTTATTTGACATTGTGTAATTGCCATCATTGATTGTCCATACCTTACTTCACCAGTTGGCTTATAGAACCAGCTGGCTTTATGATACTTTTTCTTTACCTCTTTTACTGTTCATTTTGGCATCATTTAGATATAGGCAAAGCTGTACAACATCAACATAGAACCTAACGAGCTCTTCAGGCTTTGCAGTGAGTGTGAAAAGCAGGGCAATGAAATGTTGGTTTTCCTACACCCTATGTTCACTACTATCAGAGGTGCAAATCTGGAAAGTGTCCAGTGGGGACCATTGGGGTAGAAGTGAGAACAGCAGTGAGGCAGTTTCTAAGAAAGAGATGGCCTGGCCCTAGTTACTCCTAGGCATTCTTGCTTTTGGTTTGCTTTTGTTCTAAGAGGCTGTTTTGGAACTTTCTTTTACTTTCTTTTTTGCTTTTTAGAGGAAACAGTGGGGGAATTTTATGCAATGATGGGATAAGAATGAGAATCAGCTCTCTTTGGGAAAGGTGTCAGGGAAAACTGAGAGAAGAGGATGCTGGAGCTGGATCTTGAAGGCTTAGTAAGAGTTTTCTGATTGGCTAGAACTGGGACAGGACTTCGAGGCAAAGGATTCAAAGCAGAAAACTGCATAGGATGTGTATAAGTATGCAAGGAACACATGGAAAATTATGAAGCAGTAAATAATTTGATATAGCTACTGGTTAACACTGGGTAGAGACAGGAGACAAGGACGCAGTAGACAGGGGCCAGAGCAGAGGGGACTTTGTGTGCATGGCGTTCTAACATTTGAGTTTAGCCTATAAGGAAGTTTTTTTAAAGGGCTTTAAGCCAAAGATATAATAATCAAATTTGTATTACAGGAGATGGGAGGTTGAATTGAAGTTGGGGGAGACAGGGAAGCAGGGAATCCAGTTAAAAAGCAGCAATCCAAGGGAAGTTGTTGAGGGGGCAATGGGGATGCAAAAGAGCAGGCAGAAATGAGAGTTGTTAAGAGGTTCATTGGTGTCATCTGGCGCAAATCCCACGGGGCATTAGGCAGAGTTTGGAAAGTTGGATGGCTGTCCGATTTCTGTGTTGGGTTTTACCCAGACTGTGGAATTTTTAACAAGGAAAGAATATATAAGAAGTACAGCAAGGTATTTTTGTTACAGTCATGGAGTGGTGGATTAGAGCACCATTTTTCTTGTAGTGATTTTGAAATGCCTGTAAAGTATCTGTACCATACAGTGTCCTGGTTGAAAGACTAAGATTTGGAGCCAGACTGTCTGAGTCACCCTATAGCTACACTGTAATTTCTGAGGGATCTTAGTGCAAGTTGTTTAACATCTTTGTTAAAATGGTGATGATGGGCAAGGAAGACAAATACCACATGTGCTTGGTCACACGTGGAAACTAAGTAAGTTGAGCTCATAAAAATAGAACAGAGTAGTTGCCAGAGGTCGGAAATGGGGTGGTGGGTGCAGAGAGATACCGGTGATTTGTTATAAAAATAAAGTTACATAGGAGAATAAGTCTTGTGTTCTGTGACACAGTAGGGTGAGTATGGTTAATAATTATTGTATATTCAAAATAACTAGATAAAAGGATTTGATTGTTTCCAACACAAAGAAATGATGTATCTGAGATGATAGATATACTAATTGTTCTGATTTGATCATTATACATTGTATATATACCAAAATATTACAATCTATCCCAAAATATGTATACATAGTTATCCTGTGTCAATTAAAATAACTCAAAAATACAAGCAATGGTGATAATCAGAATACTGACCTCCTAGAGTTATAGTGAAATTTGTAAGACTTAAAAGTATCAGATGCTTAGAGCTGTACCTGGCCATGCCACGTGACTAGAATCACTGCTCTTGTTAGTATTTGTGCTAGTAATATAGTAAGCAGTTATATATATATAAAAGTATAGAAACTGGGTTTGAGATGAATATGCTGAAATTGTAGTAGAATCTGTGGCTGTGGATATTAGGCATTGGTTAAAAAGTGTTTGAAAAATTTGTTGACATTTTTCATTTGAAGAGGTGGAGTATATTTCCCCTCCCCTTGAACTTGCATAGATGTGTGACTTTCACATTTCCAGGGGAATGAGTACAGATAACACTATGTGACTTCTGAGGGTAGCTCAGAAAAGATAGTAAAGCTGTGGCCTCGCTGGTTGTGATTCTTATTCCTAAAGACCAAAGTCCGCCGTGCAGCTGGGAAGCCAGGCGGCATGGAGATGTCATGTATTGCAGCACTATTGGTAACTCCAGACCAGGCATCATAGGTGAGTAATGATTCCTCTTTCCAGTCTGCCTTAGACCTCTAGGAAGGCTATGGCAAAATACCATAGACTAGGTGGCTTAAACAAAAGTCTTATTTTGCACACTTCTAGAGCTTGAGAGGTCCAAGATGATGGTGCTAGTAGGTCTGGTGTCTGGTGAGGCTCCTCTTCCTGGTTTGCAAATGGCCTCCTTACTGCATCCTCAGAAGAAAGCTCTAATCTCTTCCTCTTCTTATATGAACACTAATTTTATTATGATGGCTCCACCCTCATGAATTTATCTAAACCTAATAAGACCCTACTTTGAGTATCACAATAGAGGTTGTAGTTTTAACATATAAATTTTAGGGGACACATACATCTAGACCATAACACAGTCTCCAGCCTGTAAGTCACCCTCAGCCTCTGAGTATTCTCAGCTCATATTCTGTAAGGAGAGAGGACTCATCTCCACTGCACACTTTCCAGATTATTGGTTCACAACATTGTGGATGTAATAAAATGGTTATTTTAAGGTTCTAAATATTAGAGCAACTTGTTACTCAGCAGTAGTAACAGATACTAGATGAACTTGCTCCAGGAAATAAGGCAAAGGGAGAGGAACAGATACTTAATAGCTAGATGTCAGGAACAGTAGCATTTAAAGGGCAGGGGAATACGAACACAAAAGATGATTTTTCCTCTTCTAAAAAGTTTAAAGAAAGTGGTAGCATGAAAGACAAGTGAAGAGAAAAATTCAAGGAGAGAAAGCAGATATCACAGGGAGGTGAAGTTAAAGTTATGCCTACTAGATTCAATAAGTACAAAGTTCCAGAGGTCTTGGAGCTCTGCAAAATATTGGAAAGGCAGACTGCTGTGGTTTGGGAATTATCAGAGATATGAATATAGAAAATCCTTTCAAGGCATTGTTAGTGACAGGGAAGGGAGACTTAGAATGGTCCTCTGAGGGGTATGCAGTTGAAAGAAAAAGAATTTCAAAGATGGGAAGGGAAGAGGATGTTTGTAGAAATCAGAGGAAAGAAAACAGCAAGGAAACAGAAGAGGGATGTTCATTAAGCAAGAAGAGGATGTACAGATCTCAAGGGGAGAAGATCCCTTGTCCTCTGAGCACAGTTGGAGTTCCCATAAACCAAGAGGTGTTAGCAGCACAATAATAGATGATTTGGCTCCCTAGTTCCTTTTATATTCTACCTGCCTGTTTCCAGCCCGGAGGAACTTGACCATCTCTTGATTCTCCTCAACATCTCCACAACACTTTCTACCTCTCAGAGCACTTGCCAGATGAAGCATGGCCACTCTCTGAGGTAAGAACCTTCACTCATGATTCGTTGTCTCCAGGGTACTGCAAAACTTTGCTAATGAAGGGCTCGGAGGGCTGTCATTCTCTGACATGTGCCACAAATGCTATTCAGATTTGGTTTCTGCGTTGCAAAATAGTCATTTATAGTGACTGCTTTTCCGAAGTTGTTTTTTACACAGTACTTTAAAAAATTTCTTACCTAACTCTCTCCATCCCCTTCTTTCCCCTTCCTCCTTTCCTCTATGTCCTCCCTACCTCCTTTTCTTTGTATCTTTCAGGGAAGAGTATACTGTGTATTTGTTTGAATTTGATTTTCCCTTATCTAGCTTAATTTTTATGTGCATTAAAAGAAATTGGGTGCTTATTAGAAATGCAAATTTCTGGACTCCATCCTTAAGACATTTGAATTTAGTTGCTGGGGTCAGAATCCATTGTGGGTGGTCTGTGGATCACACATTAAGAAACAGTGGTTCAAATGAACACATAGGATTAGAGTGCTTTCTACTGGGTCTTGTGCTGGCTTCTCTTTCTGGAATATTTATTTTCTTTATCACATCCTACTCTCTCCACATTTTCTAGGAAGACTCAATTGACCATCTGCATCTACATCAACTTTTCTCCTTATGTAATTTATTTATTTACTTTGTGGATGGGCTGAAGTTTCCAACCTGGGGCCTCACACATGATAGGCAGGAGCTCTACAGTCAGACTCTACTCTAGCCCTTAACTCTTATGTCTGGTCGATATAACCAGATTTTGAAATTAGCTATCCTCCATTGAGCCAAGTGCCTGGCAATGTGATAGAGGTTACATGAAGGAACAAGGCATGGATCTAGACTTTGAGAGGCACTTTTTGTAGGGATGACTTTCATGTGGGTTTCTCTACTTTTGCATTCCTGATCAGACAGACATTAGCCTGTATTTCAGGGAAAGGGCTATATTTTCCTGGCATCTACCACAACTGCCCCCTTAGTACCGAGCACAAAACTCAATAATTGGTTAGAAGTCAGGCATTATCTATAGGTAGATACAGGTGTTGGTCCTGAGCCTTGTTGATTGGGAAGCTGATTCTTCTCAATTCTTCTCTCACCTATGTTCCTACCAAGAAGTACCTTCCCTGACAATTGCCATTAGCGCCATTATTTATGATTCCATCTCCCTCAGCTTCACCCTGCTGTTGCCGTGTTTGCATGCACTTTCTGGCCTGGCTGCACAAACTAACTTGTCCAAGGGCTTGGGCAGCCAGCCAGTGCTCCCAAGCCCTTCCTTGCATTGTGTCTGACTTCCTCTTTGGTGAGAGCCCATGTGATTTTTAAGCTTTGGAGGCTTTGGGCCCTTGTGAAATCTCTTCTGGAGAATCAGCCACACTCAATTCCATGCTTTTGTGCTTGCCTTCAGTGCTGGCAGAAGCCTGTATTGTTTCATTCTCATGTCGTCACACTCCTTGGGACTGTGATGGTTCAGCCCAAGTTCATTTGGTATTCCCCTATGCAGTGTTACTGACTTTCCCATTGTTTGCTCTGAATTAACTAATAACAGTCAAGGGAATCATTACTGTGCTGGGAAACACGAACTGGGTCATTGTGGTGTTAGCAAAAAATAGGGGCCTCTACAGGGCACCTGATCCCGTTGCTGCAGTGGCTGCCATTTTAATATCAGCGTTTTGCTGATGTTAAAGTTGTGAAGACAGAGTCCTCCACCTCATGTGAAGTTGTGAAGACAGAGTCCTCCACCTCATGTTGTAGGATTGGGGGACTTTTAACCTATTTTCCCATGTAAGCAGCTTATCTGGGGCCTTTCCATCTTTACTGGATGGTCTCCCAGTTGGATTTCAAGCTGAATGAGGGTGTATTTCTTTTCTGCCACTGGCAGGTTGAGAAAAATGCTTCTTTTTTTGTGGAGTAATTATCTTACTTTGGATAATTGGACTTGATTGGAAGAGCTAGCAAGAAGTGTCAGGCAATGTGCTAAGTTTTTAACATGTTAGCTGACTCTAATTCTTAAAACAATTCCTCAAACTAGGTATTATTGTAGGATACAGAGAGAGTGAGAATATTAGGAATTCCTGGTCTGTTGTAGAGCTGGATTCCAATCGAGTTCTACCTTTTTCTGCCCCTCCTTGAATCTTCGACTACTTCATGCTGCCTCTTAACAATGCATATTGGCAAAGGGTTATCAACCCTGGAATTCTTCTAAGAAGCTCTTTTGCCAGGTTAGTGCATTGCTTTAAATCTGTAAAACACCAGTGGGTCCGTTCATAATGAATTTTCATTCTTTCAGGAGATGAAGTCAGAGTTAGAAAGCACTGTGGAGACCTCCTCTGAAAGTTCAGTTGATCCCACTCAGCAGAGCCGGGTAAGCTGTTGTTGGGGTCCTCCTACATTTCTGCCTCAATGTGTCTCAGAAAATCAGAAATACCTGACCTCCATTTGAATGGTACCTTACTTACTAGAGTTAGCTGGCCTCAGATTCTCTCTCTACACTCTTTTTGTGTTTTTGACAACACTGGAGCACAGTTGGAAGAGGCAGGGTGCATATTTATATTATGGAAACACAGCTGAGCCTATTCTGCAGTAACAGAGACCATGTGTTCTGGGGCTTTTCTATTTGGAGTCAGTTTATCATCACTATAAAAACATTTCAAATGAGAATGGAGTGGATAGAAACCCTGGGGAGTTGTACAGGGAGCTCTTGGCTAGGATGGCTTAATGCCTGGCCTTGGTTTAGTCACTCAGAAAGCTGGAAGTGAAGCACTCATGCGAGCTCTTAATCTATCACAGACATCTTGGCCTTCCCTGAGCACTTCCACCTGCTTTACCAAGGGGACCCATGGCTGGTCTCTTAACAAATAAAATGTGTGTGTTCTGTATTAGACATGTCAGTTAAGTCGAGAGATTACTGAGTACCATATATAGTCATCTTAGTGGACTCTAGTTTTTTTCTTTAAAAGATCTGTAACCAATGATGAAAAGTGGGGATAATAACTAATGACTATTTTATATAGTTCCCTTTTAAATTATATGGAAAATGTTATTCTAGAACAGGGTCTGAAACTCTTCTTAAGAGGGAGGCGCATTCTGGAGTAGAAGGATATTAGAATTTCTGCTTTGATTTCTCTATCTTTTTGTTGGCATTGGGCAGGAAATGAGCATTTTTTAGTTTACATCCTGGTCATAGTTGGAGAGAAAGTCTGCTTTCTACAGGAAAGCCAGGGGAAAGGAAAACACACTTGCAGAAATACTGCTAGAATAAAGACATCACTGAGTTTTGGAAATGGATTTGATAGTCATGATGTAAATTAAAGTCAAACTCGTTGAAGGCTCCGGGCCTGGGGTATGCTTTTACAATTGTGCATCCCTTGAGTCCTGGCACACCAGGATCTTATAGATTTTGTCTGATATATATCAATAAATACTGATTCTTCCCTGAAAAGTTTCTTTCATAATTGTCTATTATATGTCACCCACACATACCATGTTTTGGAATCTTATTTTCATTAAAATCCGTGGCCTTTCCTACTTGATAATGAAGTCTGCCACCCCAATCAAATATATACATCCTTCCTTCTCTTCTCCCTCTCTCTTCTGTCCCTCCTTTGTTCTTTCCCTTCCTTCCCTACTTCCTTCTTTCCCTTCTCCCTCTGCTTCCTCCCTCCTTTTTTTCTCTCTTCGTTTTGCTAGATGTGAGATCCAACTTTTACTCTCAGAGAAATTCAAACTCAGATTGTCCAGAATCCAAATCTGCTTTTCCCCTTCTCTCTCCTTTGTTCTGCAAAGAGCACCCATAACTGTCCCTCAGAACTCAGACTCCAGCTGTCCTTTACTCCTCTCCTCCAGCACCTTGAATATATGGCAGGAGCCAAAACTCAGGGATCACTTTTATATTACCAGCTGCATTCAAGCCCTTGTCTCCCTGTCAACTGTTCACAGTCTCCCTGGAATAACTAGGGAAGTTCTTTTCACCTCTTTGTTTGCTATTGGCTTCCCTCCCTCCAGTTCACTCTACACACTGCTGCTACACTGATTTTCCTAAAATGCAAGCATAATCATGTGCCTTGCCTGTGTAAAATCCTCCAAGGGCTTGCCAGTAGCATTCAAGGTAAATATCAAACTCCTTAGCTTAGGTCATGAGGCCTTAAAGATCTGCCCCAAGCTAGTTCCATCCACTACTCCTGAGCAGGCACCTTTCTGCACCTGTCTAAAATATCTATGGTTTACAGAACTCACTGAACCACTTGGTGTATATGTCCTTGACCACAATGCTTCTTTGCTTTGGGATTCATTCATTTATTAAAAAATTTATTTAGGGGGGCTGGGGATTTAGCTCAGCGGCACAGCACCTGCCTGTAAGTGCAAGGTCATGAGTTCAATTCCTGGTACTGGGGGAAAAAAAATTTATTTAGGGAGCATATGTGGAATATTTATTCTAAGCCAGTGACCAATTCCAATGGGGAGACAGTAGTGAAGATGAATATAAATGAGGGCCTTCCACCATGAAGGTAATTCTAATAGGTGACGACAGTACCCATTAGACAATGAGTTTTAGATAGTTCTAAAAGTTGTAAGAGTAATGATCCAGGGTGATCAGATACTAAGTACTACAAGGTGTATGTGCATCTGCAGAGGGTTCTTACACAGGATTCTCTAGAAGGTTCTCCCAAGAAGGGCTTATAAAACAGGGATCTTTGCTGGGCATGAAAAGTCATGAGGTCTGAAGGGAGAGCAGGTATGAAGTCTATGTGTTGAGAATCCACTTAATGCTTTCAGAGGGGGAGTTTATAAGAGCCATGTGCCTGAAAGTCAGAGATTGAGGCAATCAAAGGAGATAAGGAGAAAGAAGCAGGTCAGTTAATATTGTGAGACCTTGTAAGAATGGCAAAAGTTCTAGTTTTTAACTTAATCTGGGTGAGTAAAAAGTTTTTTTTAAAAGAACAGGTGTTGTCAGGGTGTGGAGAAATTGAAAGAATCGTATATTGCTGGTGGATATATAAAACAGTTCAGCCACTGTGGGAAATGTTTTGGCAGTTCCTCAGTCAGTTACCTCATCTGTTACCACATGATCAAGAGCTCGCTTTTAGGTACAGACCCAGACAGGTGTTCAAACAAAAGCTTGTACATGAAAGTTCATAGCGGCACTATTAGCATAGGCAAAAGGTGGAAATAATCCAAATATCCATCAACTGATGAATGGACATACAAAATGTGATATATTTTTGTAGTGGAATATCAGCTATAATAAGGAGTGAAATATTTATACATTTTGTAGCATGGATGAAGCCTTGAAAACATGATGCTAAGTGAAGAAAGACAGACATGAAAGGCCCCTGTTATATTAGTATGTTTATATCAATATCTAGAAAAGGCATAACTGTAAAAATAGAAAGAACATTAGTAATTTCCCAGGGCTAGGGCTGGCAGTGTATGTAGTTCAGTGGTAGAGAACTTGCCTGCATGCTTAAAGTCCTGGGTTCAATCCCCAGCAAAAACAAAACAAAACAAAACAAAACAAAACAAAACAAAGCAACAAAATACCCAGAACAGATTACAAGATAGTTGCCAGGGGCTGGAAGGTTATAGGAAACAGAAAATGGCTACTGAATGCGTTTCCTTTTGGGGTGATCAAAAGGTTCTGGAGCTAGATGGTGCTGATTATTGTACAAATTCCAAATGTATTTCATGTCACTGAACTGTACACTATGAAATGGTTAAAGTAGTAAACTTTACATTGTGCGTCTTAGTCATCTGGAGTTGCCATAACAAAATACTATAGTCCAGGAGCCTTAAACAGAAGAAATTTATTTTCTCACAGTTCTGGAGGCTGGAGGATCCCAAATGAAGGTGCCAGCAGGGTTGATGTCTGGTAAAGGGTTTCTCCTATGGTTGTAGATGACCACTTTCTTGCTGTGTGTGCCTCATATGACCTTTTCTCAGAGAGTGGGAGGAGGAGGAGGAGGAAGAGGAAGAGAGATAGAGAGATAGAGAAAACAGAGAGAGAGAGACAGAGACAGAGAGAGACAGAGAGAGAAACTAGCTAGATCGCTGATGTTTTCTCTTCTTAGGATATTAATCTGTTGAATCAGGGCCACAGTCTTATGACCTCATTTAACATTAATTACTTCCTTACTGCAAATACAGTCACATCACTGAGGGTTAGAACTGCTTCAACATATAAATTTTGGGAACAAAAATTTAGTTCACTGTATTATATATATTTTACCACAATAGAAACAATCATTTTTATCTACTGTGTAGAGCATTATTGGAATAAAAGTAGGGAGACAGTTAGGAGATAGGTTAGTAATCCAATTATGAAAGGATGGTGATTTGAATTAGGGTGGTATTAGAGAGGAATGCATGTTTTTTACCCTTCTTATTTCCACATGGAGAGATTTCACTAATATAATTTCTTGGCTTCTCAGTTCACCCCTCATTCACTCTTACTGGTGTGTCATTGGTAAGTGAAGGCCATTGACCTACATTTCTAACTAGGCAGAGCTAATTTATTAATTATTTATCATGGCTGGGCATTCTATTCTTCTGCCTGCTTTGAGGCCCAGAGTAGGATACTAATCCTGTTCTGCACACCCAAACTTTCTACCCAGAACACAGTCAATGCCAAGAATGGGGTGTTCTGGGACAGGGGCAGAGAGTAGTACTAGCAAGTTCAGATGATTACAAACTAAATTGTTTCTCCAATGAGCTTGGCCATAAGGGTACCATTTTGATTTGTACTTCCATGGCTCATCTAGCTTCTTCCACAGAACCTTCAAATCTCAGTGTTACTTTCTTTGGGAAGCATTCTCTGACCATCCCCATGCTCCCTGTGTTTTGCATGCTTCTCCTCTGTTTTTCTGCAGGGCTCTGTGCATTCCTCTAGCTTAGCATATGCCAAACAACGCTGTGATCACTTTTTCTGGTAGAGATAAAGTCATGTGTTCCCCATTCACATTATATTACACTGTCACAATGCAGTGGCTCTAAAGACAGTAAGCTTCTTAAGGATAAGGCCAAAATTAATCTCTTTCCATTTCTCATTCTTGGTATAATGTCTGATACACAGTAGGTGTCCAATAAGTGTTGAATAGATAGCTCCAACAGGAAATTCCATGTTCCTGCCTCATCCTTCTTTATAAAAGAGTCAGACAATAGAAGGGAGCCTGCAATATTCTCAACTTACTATCAAAAGTTAGCTTCGATCATGGAAGAGATTGGATCCATAGATCACATATAGCTACTCAACTTACAGAGGATGTCCAGTGAGGCAACTGCAGTTCTTTCAGGTTTTTGATAAATTTGCTATTGTGATTGTTAGGTCTGGTGTGAGCGAGAGACAGAACAAAAGTAAAGAAAGTCTTTATTGCTAACACAGAAGGGCTGCTAAAGAGACACAAGGACCCTCTGAGAGAAGAAGCCAGGAACAAACAATTTATTGAGCTGGGTTGAGGGTGGAGTTGATGGGGTGGTCTAGGTGGTGAGACAGGTCATTGACTGGGCAGGGGCTTTGCAGGAAATGGGAAGTTGTGGTCAGGCTGGGTGGAGAAGAAGGAGGAGGTCAGTCTGGGTGGGTGTTCATTTTCAGGCCCCTTGCCATGTTGGATTGCTGCCAGGATGACTTGGCAGATTTTTGTATGGGCGGAAACCCCTCAGTGATGTGTAACTGGAGTTTGTAATCTTCTCTGAAAGCTTACTGATTTCCCCCAGTCATGCTTCTTAGTGATTGCCTAAAGGTTTATAAAGTACATCAATGTATTTTCAGTTCTTGGGATAGTAGAAGGTAGTAATAACCTTGGAGTCACTTCTATTTTAAGAAAGTTGGAAAGTGTACATAAAAATCGTGTATTCCTTTCGGTGCAAAACTGATCTGTTATCAAGATGTCATGGCTTTGGAGGTTCCTCCACCCCCAAGCGGCAAGTGGATTTTGCTGTCTGTGCTCATGTTCTCATCTGGGCTTCCTGTAATGGGACCTGTGTGCATCTGTAGTTGTCTGGGCTCATCTGTGGTCTGAGGATGTAAGATGAATCAAAGTCAGCTTGTTAATACTGTATTTGACTCCTTTGATTAGTGTTTCTTTTATCTCCATTCTCCAGCTAGGAAAATGACTTGTCAAAGATTACAAAAATTCCTGAAAGTTAAACTGTAAAATGATTTAAAAGCTATTTTGAGATATGTTAAACATTTTAAAGAATGTTGGTTGATTATGCATTTCTTAAGACAGTGTGCTGCTCAAAAAGATAAGAAAAATAGTCTGAATATTGTGTTAGTCTGCAAGTGAAATGTAAATAATGAGCTGTACATTTCCCTGGCAGTGTGATACTAAAAGAAGACAAGACTAAAAAGGGAAATTAACACCCATATGTGTCACAGAGAAGCAACTGCAGTGACTACCTGCCATTCATGAGGCGCATGGTAGTCTATTTGGTGATATGCTCCTTTGTTGCAGTAGAATGCTGTACTCTCTCATTAAATTTAGCCCTCTAACAACTTATATCTACATAGTAACACAGGGCTTCATTGGAATCAAGATGCCTTTTATCTAAATACTTTTTTTGAATGTGGATGAGATTGTGATTGACTTGAGGGGTTGGTGGGAAGCTTAACAAACATTCCTAGAATTGCAGGCATATCCAATTCCATTTTACAGAGCACTTTAAAATAGAAGACACATAACTGGTCTGTCTGGGGGCTTCAATAGTTCCTGGTTATCCAGCTGTGTGGTCAAAGCCTGGCAATCAGCCGCTTAGATTCTTAGGATAGTATCTTCTTCCGGTGGGCTTCACATTAGAAAACATATCATTACTGAATAAAAAATTGCTTAATACTGTCATGAAATCCATACATTGTTCTCATTAGTTATGAAATTCAAATTTAACAGATTATTACAGTTTTAAGTAAATTGTCAGGGTCTAGGAACTCATTTGTTCTTATTAAGTTTCTTTACCATCTTCCATTAAGATTTTGATGGGTTCTTTTGGGATTTTAGCTTATTTAAAAAAGATTATAGCACTACTTTTGGAAACACAAAGAAAGAAAATAAAGGAACAGCAAATAATCAATAGGTGAAAACTGAGCTGATTGCCTATGTTTTTTGAAATGAGATTTTAACTTCCAAGTTCCTCTGCCAGTCAACATGAATAAAGATAAGACCATTTCCCACCATCTCCTTTGGTGTTCTCCCTTTGAAGCTGCCCTGTCAGTGAAAGAAAAATAGATTTTTGACAGGCCTGCCCTGGAATTTGGGAAAACCTGATCATATGTAAAGGATTTGTGAGTCTACCACATACTAACTGGGAACTGGGTATTTAAATGAAAAGTATTTACATGAGGAACCTCTTCTGAGGGAAGTACTCTTAACGGGAGAGAGAATAGTTCTATAAACACTCAAAGGCTGGTGCAAGTCTACAGACTAGGATAAGTGGGGAGAAGTTATTCTGAGTATAAACAGTAGTTATTTCAGATCAGCCATGTCAATGCAGTTCTGGGTCTTAAGGGAAGAAGTTATAAAGGAACAAGAAAGTGTGATTTTATGAAAGTATCTATGGAATTCAAGCATACATTTGTCCAGTTACAATGGTGCCAGGAAACTAGAGGCTTCACAGGGCAACTTCCTCAGGCAGCAGCATCCTCAAAATGGCATCCTCAGTTGGGCATTTGTGGCCTTAGAATGTAAGTAGATAGATATTAGCAGCAATATCATTATGTCAGGTTGAATATGCCATAGAGTTGGCTTAACCTTATTGCCCACTTTCCTAGGAACTGTCCCCGGGATCAGTGGTTTAGTAGGCATCAACAGAAGTGATGGCAGCTTCTCTGGACACTGGTGGCTCTGACTCTGTGATGGTTAATTTTATGTGTCAGTTTGACTAGGCCACGGGATACCCAGAGAGCTGATTGAACCTGGTCACCAGACATGTCTCTGAGATGTTTCTGGAAGAAAAAAGAGACAGCCTTCCCAATGTGGGAGAGCATCGTTCAGTCCACTGGGTCTGCACAGAACGAAAAGTCGGAAGAAGGGTGAGTGTATTCTGCCTGTTTGAACTGGGATACTGTGCCTCTCCTGCCCTTGCACTCTTGATTCTCAGGCCTGCTCTGGTCTGGAATCTATGTTATTGGCTCTTTAGGTCTTTGAGTTGTGTCACCAACTTTCCTGGAACCCCAGCTTTTTTTTTTTTTTTGGTTTTTCTCCGGTACCAGGAACCGAACTCAC